CCTGGGCTACATGCAGCCCACTGGCCACAGTTGGGCAGGCTTGCTATAAAACATTCCTAAAAGATAAATGTAAAGACAGCCCTTGTTATTGGTTAGTGTGTCTCAATGCCATCAAAACGTTAGCAGTCCCTAACTTAATATATGAAACTAATACACTCCCAATAAAAATACCAACAAGTTTTTTTTTTTTTTTTTTTTTTTTGAGACAGAGTTTTGCTCTTGTTGCCCAGGCTGTAGTGCAATGGCACAATCTTGACTCACTGCAACCTCTCCACCTGCCAGGTTCAAGAGAGTCTCCTGCCTCAGCCTCCTGAGGAGCTGGGATTATAGGCACATGCCATGACACCCAGCTCATTTCTGTATTTTTAGTAAAAACAGGGTTTCACCACATTGGCCAGGGTGGTCTGGAACTCCTGACTTCAGGTGATCCTCCCACCTCAGCCTCCCCAGGTTCTGGGATTATAGGCATGAGCCACCGTGCCTGGCCTAAAAATATCAACGAGTTTTTAGATTTTTTAATGGAGTTTTAAAAGTTGATATTTATGGAAAAATAAATATACAATAGCTATGAAAACACTGAAAAAAAAAACAGGGTATAAAGAGGGAGTAACCATCAGATATTAAAACATAGCAAAAAGCCTTTGTAATTAAAATAGTGTGGTATTAGTGTACAAATGAACAGACCAATGGAACTAAACAGAGAAGTCAAAATTACAAATGGAATTCATGATAATGTCAGTATCTCAAATCTTTTGGCTAAAGTTAGCCTTTTATTTTATTTTATTTTTTAGAGACAAGGTCTCACTATGTTGCCCAGGCTAGTCTCCAACTGCTGGGCTCAATGAGTTGCCTGAGCTGGTCTTGAATTCCTGGGCTTACCCACCTTGGCCTTCCAAAGTGCTAGGATTACAGATGTGAGCCACTGCACTCAGCCAAATATAAATTTTTAAGAAAAGGCTGTTTACCATTTTGTGGTTTTACCACAAAAAAGCATAGTCATTTGGAAAAGAGTCAAATAATATCTATTCCTCACCCAATACAAGAGAGTAAATTCCAAACAGAGCAAAGGCCTGAATGTAATAAATGAAACAGCATATGGGTGAATTCTCCTAAAACCTGTTCTGTAACCCAAGTGTAGATTAGAAAAGGCTTTCTGATTATGACTTTAAAAAAAAAAAAAAAAAAAAGAGAGTGTTAAGCCAGGTGTGATGGCTTACCCCTGTAATCCTAGCACTTTGGAAGGCGAAGATAGGAGGATACTTGAGCCCAGAAATTCAAGAACACACTGAGCAACATGGCAAAACATCATCTGTACAAGAAATACAAAAATTAGCCAAGCATGGTGGCACGCACCTGTAGTCCCAGCTATTTGGAAGGCTGAGGTGGGAGGATCAACTGAACCCAGAAAGTTGAGGCTGCACTGAGCTGTGATCGCACTACTGCACTCCAGCCTGGGTGAAAGAGTATGATTCTACTTCAAAAAAAAAAAAAATGGTGAGGCCAGGCCTGATGGCTCATGTCTGCAAACTCAGCACTTGGGGAAGCTGATGCTGGCAGATTGCTTGAGCCCCGTAATTGAAGACCAGCCTGAGCAACAGAGCAAACTCTCCATCTCCATAAAAAATATAAAAGTTAGCTGGGTGCAGTGGCACATGCCTATAGTACCAGCTACTTGGGAGGCTGAGGTGGGAGGATCACTTGAGTCCCGAGGGGCAGAGGTTGCAATGAGTCAAGATTGTACCATTGCACTCCAACCTGGGCGACAGAGCAAGAACCAGTCATTAAAAAAAAAAAAAAAAAAAAAAAAAGAAAGCCCGGCACAGTGGCTCACATCTGTAATACAAGCACTTTAGGAGGCTGAGGCAGGCAAATCACAAGGTCAGGAGTTCCACACCAGCTTGACCAACATGGTGAAATCCCATCTCTACTAAAAATAAAAATAAAAAAATTAGCCAGGCATGGTGGCACATCCCTGCAATCCCAGCTAATTGGGAGTCTGAGGCAGGAGAACTGTTTGAACCCAGGAGGCGGAGGTTGCAGTGAGTTGAGATCATGCCACTGCACTCCAGTCTTGGCAACAGAGTGAGACGCTGTCTCAAAAACAAATAAATAAATAAAGGTTGATAAACTTATTACATGAAAAAATTATACAAACTGAATGGCATCAAATACCATAAAGACAAATTGGTAGAAAATATTCACAATACGTATCAAAGGAAAAGTCCTAATATTCCTAACATACAAAGAACTTTTTTTTTTTTTTTTTTTTTTTGAGACGGAGTTTCGCTCTCGTTACCCAGGCTGGAGTGCAATGGCACGATCTTGGCTCACTGCAACCTCCACCTCCTGGGTTCAGGCAATTCTCCTGCTTCAGCCTCCTGAATAGCTGGGATTACAGGCACGCGCCACCATGCCCAGCTAATTTTTCTATTTTTAGTAGAGACAGGGTTTCACCTTGTTGACCAGGATGGTCTCGATCTCTTGTCCTCGCGATCCACCAGCCTCGGCCTCCCAAAGTGCTGGGATTACAAGCTTGAGCCACCATGGCCGGCCTCATACAAAGAACTTTTAACGAAGGGAGGAGAGGGTGAGAAAGACCAAACGTCCTCATGGTAATGATGGTTGTACAATTCTGCAAACACGCCAAAAGCCACTGAATTATATATTTGAAATGGGTGAAGTTTGTGGTATATAAATTGTTTCATTAGTCTATTTGGGTTTTTTTTTTTTTTTTTTTTTGAGATGGAGTCTTGCTCTGTTGCCAGGCTAGAATGCAGTGGTGTGATCTCAGCTCACTGAAACCTCCACCTCCTGGGTTCAAGCAATTCTCCCACCTCAGCTTCCTGAGTAGTTGGGACTACAGGCGTGTGCCAACACACCCAGCTCATTTTTGTACTTTTAGTAGAGATAGGGTTTCACCATGTTGGCCAGGATGGTCTCAATCTCTTGACCTCATGATCTGCCCTCCTCAGTCTCCCAAAGTCATTAGTTACTTTTTAAAATCCTATAGAAGAACAGGTGAAAGATTTAGAAGACAATTCACCCCCGCCAAAGATATAAAAATAGTTCATAAATATATAATAATAAACTTCATTCATAAGAGAAATGCAAATAAAAACTGCACTAAGATTCCACTTCTCGCCCATCAGAATGACAAAATTTTAAAAGCTTGATAATATACTCTGTTGATGAGAATGTGCGGAACAGACTGTCTCATGAATCGTTGGCGGGAATACAAACAATCCTTATGGAGGCACACAGTAATACTTTCAATGCAATAATCCCAATTCTAGGAATTTACCCTGAAGATTCACCTTCCAACAACCCAAATATATGAATGACAAAGCTGGAGTACATTGCTGCAGTATTTATAATTCAAACTATTGGAAACCAACAAAATGTCTAAACATCAAGAATGACTGAATAAACTCTGGTACACACATACATAAAATAAGGTACCATATAGCTGCTTTTTTTAAGAGGAAAATATCTCCAGAATGTTTTAAGTATAAAAAGCAAAGAATAAATTAAGATATATACTATGCTACCTTTCGTGTAAGAAAATGGAAATCACAAAACATCCATGGTCTGCTCATCTTATACAAACATAGGAAGGATAAACCAGAAAACAATGAAATTGGTACCTTACAGGGGTAAGAGGCAGTTAGGATGAAAGGACTAAGATAACAGGTTACATCTGAGTAAACCCTTATGTAATTGTGACTTTGTGAAGTATATTAAATAATATTCCATGTATCAAAAAAATGCAATTATATCAACAAAGATAGTGGGAAAAAACTAAAACTGAAAGCATATGGAAAAAAATGAACCCAAATGTATTTCAAATAAATAAAATAATCACAGTGAAAAAGAGGAAAAAAAGAACTAATCCAAGTAACTTCTAGATACAGTATTGAGTACACACCCTTGTCTGGGAGCAGGGGAGAGGTGGAGGAAGGACTGAAAACAAATCCTAAGCCATTTTTAGCAGGTTGGTTTAGGGGTGGAGACAATGGTAAAAGAATATTTCTGAAATTATTTTAAATGTATTGATGACGGAAGTCAGGATTCTAACTGTGGAAGTAAGGAGATATAATACAGAGAAGAAAGCAAACAAGAGCCTTGGAAGAATGGCCTGGAATTGGAGTATCAAGTTTGAACACATAACATCATGTGTGCATGCTTTTACTTCCTAGCTCTGCCACTGAAAGGGCTCAGAAGCAATGAGATCCTGGTAGCAATAAACGTGTCTAACACTCAGAGCCTTATAAAGGGAACCAGAGCTCCTTTGACAGATGACTAATTTCAAGAGTAGGGCAGGGACAGTATAGGACAAACCTGGAATATTTTGTTGGGACAGAAAATAACGAAGGTACTCAAAAAAATGATGAGGGCATGTCAAAGGAGCACAAGTAGCAGCCAATAGGGCTCCCGATGGCCATATCTGGAACAACTTTATTAGCATCAACATTAGAAGGAAATAATGAATTATAAATCACTGAGGGGAAAATAAGTATCAAAGGGTTCATAGTGATTACATAGACATCAATATATGTGCAAAAGGGAGGGTTCTTCCTTATAGAAGCACACCAAATGTCAAATGATGTATAAGGAAGGAGTGCTAGTGTTGAACAATCAACAATTTGTAAATAACATAGAGAAGATTGTTTTGAGCAAGAACCAGTGATAGATGCTAAATCTTGTAAGAGAATGTCCTTATTCTTAGTTTTTAAAAAAATGACTTTTTTAGGGGTAAAAGAACTTGATGTATGCAATTTAAAATCAAACGTAAGTTGAGTTTTCTGAAAAAACAACTACATTGTTTTCAGGAAAAAAAGCAATGTAGATAGAACCAATGACAAAGCTAATGCAAAGTTTTAATAACAGATGAGGCTGAGTGAAGGGTGTATGAAAATTCTAAGTATTCTTGTAAACTAACCATAGCTTCAAAGTATTTTCAAACAAATAGTTAAAAGAAAAAAAGAAAAGGCAAATCTTACATTTCTCAGTGCTTCATAAACAGCTCTAAATGCTGGTTGCTTATCATCATGGTAAACACCTCTGTTCCCATGAAGAATAAAGATTCCGTCTTCTTCTGCTTCTTGGCAATTGCTTCCATATATACAATGATCTGGTCGATAATTCCATTGACACGGAAAAACAAAAAGGCTTTCTACATAAAGAAAAGACCAAACAATGAAGCAAATACCCCTAATTCAACAGATGTAACATTTTGCAAAACTTTTAGTTAAAAAATGCAGCTCTTATAGGTAAGAATTACAATAATAAAAAACAAGTTTGGCATTTAGATCTCTTCCAATTAAACCAATATTCAAGAAAAGTTTTACTCTGTTTCAAAAATAAGTAACTATAATCATTAATATAAGACAGAATCAGATAAATGCATGTTCTCCTTTTTCACTAAGTATTATCTGGAATTCCATAATGCGAACAAAAGGAATTTAAATAATTACCTGGATTATGAGAAAACATGATATTCAATAGATCTTGATCACCCCATGTGATGTTTAGTTTGTATTTTTTAAGCAATGGCATAAGTATATCTCCCCATTGTAGTCGTACAGTTGTCATATCATTCTGTTGATTAAAACATTCAAAAGATCTTCAGACTTTCAGGCTTAAAATGGCAGCATGATGACAGTTCTACATTCTTCCCACAACCATTAACAGAGCCACAAAAAGAAAAAAAGAACTCCCCATGCAAACTCCCCATGATATCAAGTGACATTTCTAACCCTAAATGTGACAAAGGCTGTCCAGGAAAAGAGAAGATAACAAAAGAGAGAGAGAGAGAGAAAGAGAGAGAGAGAGAGAGAGTGTGTGTGTGTGTGTAGACAGATATATAAAGTAGTATAAACATATATATATATATATATGTTGCCGATTTCTTTCAAGTTTGTTCCTATGTATGCTATCTCTTTTGTTACTATTTTAACAGGGGAGGAGGGTTTTCCATTTTATCTTCTAAAAGGTTGCTATTTGTATATTAGAAAAGGCAAGCAAAGAATTCTGTAAAGAGGCACCATGAATGATATACAAAGTCAAAGAAGATTTCCTAGGGAAAATAACTGGGTCCAGTCTAGCAGGTGTATGCAGTCCCATAAACTCTCACCGTCCCAGAGGGAGGCAAGTTAGGACTGACATCTTTGGTAGTATTAAAGACTGCACTCCACAAAAGAGATCCTAGTCTCCTAATGCCTCTCATACTATCGAAGAGCTGACAGATTCACCCAACCCATTTAACGACTGTAAGCTTTGATATCAGAATTACAACCCTCCTAGCAAAGGTATTTTCCTATTCTTGGGTATCAACTGATTGACGTATCAACATTGTTTTCAGGAGGAGACCATACTAGGCTACTTGAGAAAGAACCCCTGCAGTTAGCCACAGTAAATGGTTTGACTCTCCTTTTAAAAGTAGTGATTTCTGTATTTTAATTTTCAACCCAGCGAAATTAACCATATATCCTTAATGTTTACAGTAGTTTTAATAGATTGAGGTCTCCCAGGGATGTAAATATGTCGTGCAAATAATGATAATTTTACATCCTATCTAAATTGTATACCTATTTCTTTCACTTGTCTAATATAAGAGCTTGTAATTCCTCCATGCTGAGAACCACTATTTGAATATTACTTAATAGTTATGGTTCCAGGTGCAGTGACTCATGTCTGTAATCCCAGCACTTTGGGAGGCCAAGGCAGGCAGATCAACTGAGTTCAGGAGTTCAAGACCTGCCTGGGCAACATGGTGAAATCCTGAATTGAATACTGGACCTTTTAGATCCCTGTGACTCTTTTAAACTATCCAGAGTATAAACCAGAATTCTTTTTTTTTTTTTTTTTGAGACAGAGTTTCGCTCTTGTTACCCAGGCTGGAGTGCAATGGCGCGGTCTCGGCTCACTGCAACCTCCACCTCCCAGGTTCAAGCAATTCTCCTGCCTCAGCCTCCTGAGTAGCTGGGACTACAGGCATGCGCCACCATGCCCAGCTAATTTTTGTATTTTTAGTAGAGACGGGGTTTCACCATGTTGACCAGGATGGTCTCGATCTCTTGACCTCGTGATCCACCTGTCTCGGACTCCCAAAGTGCTGGGATTACAGGCTTGAGCCACCGCGCCCGGCCAAACCAGAATTCTTAATAGTGCAGTTCACATAGTGTGCTAATACGTACATTTTGTACATGTCCCCAGTAAGATTAAGAAATTAAGTACAGAAATTAAGAGTAAGATTTAGAAACTTTTATAGCAAGTTGATAGTTTTATGTGTGCTTAATATGTTTTTCCAGTAATCTATTTTTACGTAAGTATTGGCTCATAACGTACTGAATTTTTTTTTTAAATTAATCCTTTGCCATAGTTTGAGAAACAATGTTATGAGCAATTTTATAATTTATACTAAATTCAATGACAATATAAACAATCTGTCCTTTAAATAAAAAGGTCAGAATTCATGAAAAAAACTCCACATACTTAAATTGATCTACAATTGCATTAACCTTGTGTGAAATTTCTTGGCTCACAGTATACATAGTAATTATAATCAGAATTTTTTTTAATGTGAAAAATGACTAAAACAAGTTTTACTTAAGGAAATAATTTGAAAAGATAACTCTTTGAAGTAAGTCATTGAGTATGTTTAGGAAATATTAGGCTCTGAAAAGAAAAATATCAATTACACAAGGACAAAAACCAGGAACACATTCAACAGACAGAACTGGTGGAGCCCTTGTACAATACCATGTTAAAGTCTTCATGTGAGTCTATCTATTCAAATATATAGAGAAATATAAATTTTAAAAACCAATATAAATCAAATATATATATGTAAACATATTATCTCACAAGAAATATATCTATTCAAAGAAAATCAATGAAAGTCAAAATTAAGAGTCCAGTGCAGTCTTAGGAAAAAAATCAAACGGGAAAAAACCTTAGCTTAAAGAAAAAAGTCCTATTAGAAAACTATTTGGAAAAGCAGCAACAACACTACTATTGTTTGCTAATTATATACCTAGACTATCCAAGACAATCAATGAAAAGCTATGAGAAATGAGTTTAATAAAGAGGCATTACATATAAAAGGAGTTCAAGTCAATAAGTAAGAGAAACCAAGACGTGGGCAAAGGATATGGGCAAGCAGCCATTCACAAAAGGAGAAACAGAAATGGCTACAAATTACAAGAAAAGATTTTAACCACGACGGTAGTATAGTCAAGAAAATACAAATTTTAAAATATATTTTCAGTTATACAACTACATATACATACTAGTTATACACACACAAAAATAAAATCATCCATTCTCCACATCACACACACATAAAAAATGTGATTATGTGTAATGACACAGAAGTCAGTCAACTATATATTTACTAAATGAAAAAAGCTGAAAATATATGGAAGAATCCTATATCTAAGTGCTAATGCACATGTATGTTTGTTTCAAAATACTTTTTCTTTTCTTTTTTTTCTTTTTTTTTGAGACAGAGTCTCGCTCTGTTGCCTAGGCTGGAGTGCAGTGGTACAATCTTGGTCCACTGCAACCTCCACCTCCTGGGTTCAAGTGATTCTCATGCCTCAGGCTCCTGCACAGCTAGGATTACAGGCACTTGCCACCATGCCTAGCTAATTTTTATATTTTCAGTTGAGATGGGTTTTCACCATATTAGCCAGGCTGGTCTCCCAAAGTGCTGGAATTACAGGCACGAGCCACTGCACCCAGCCTCAAAATACACCTTTTCAAGGGTCCAAAGAACACACAGCAAAGTTTATAGTGTCACTATGGGTGGACGCATGAAACTGTAGAGAGATATATCAAGGGGAGACTTGTCTTTTTACTCTACATACATTGAATTTTTTGAATCTTTATAAGCATAATTTAGTTTCATAACATTTAAAACAGAAAACCATTGTTCTAATTTTACAAATTTTAGCAAATCTATGACCAAATACATGTGTGTTAAAATTAAGATTAGTTTCATTTTTTAAATTAAGCATGCTTTTGAAAATGAACGGAATGTCATTATCAGCCTGTCCCATACATACATATAAAATTGAAGATTATTCAAATTACGCTCCAACAATGCTAGAAACTGGGAACTCATCAACTCCTAAAGATGAGTTACTTCGCTTTAAAAAGTTCAACCTCTTTGGCAAGATGTTTGTTATTATTCTGTTCTCATAAGTTAGGTACTAACACAAGAAAAGTCCTCTATCACACACATCTTACAAATATGTAAAAACATTGTATCTACTTCATATAAAATATTTTTCAATAATTCACTAATGGCCTAGTTTTTAAAACCTTCATCTGACTGTCCTTTACTAATAACTATCTATCAAGTTGCTACTTTATGTCAGGCACCAGGCTAAAATAAATATAAAGCTGTACAAAGACGTATCCTGCCCTCAGTAGGTGCAGCAAGCAAACAAAGAAAGACTTTACAAATACACAGGACAAAAAGGGCAGACAGTAAACAAACAAGGAAAAGATCCCACTATGTCTAATTTATACTCTTCAGTTTTTCTCTAATAAATAGGAAAAAGTGAAGAAATACCGTAATACTCTTTTTAGGAGAGAAAATAAACACCCTAATAGGGATTCAACACTGCAAATATGATACTGCAAAATACAAAATAATCGCTTAACCAATGTTACGCATTGTTTAACAAATACAGGATTATTAAAAATTATATGATTTTTTTTTTTTTTTTTGAGACGGAGTTTTGCTCTTGTTACCCAGGCTGGAGTGCAATGGCGCGATCTCGGCTCACCGCAACCTCCGCCTCCTGGGTTCAGGCAATTCTCCTGCCTCAGCCTCCTGAGTAGCTGGGATTACAGGCACGTGCCACCATGCCCAGCTAATTTTTTGTATTTTTAGTAGAGACGGGGTTTCACCATGTTGACCAGGATGGTCTCGATCTCTTGACCTTGTGATCCACCCGCCTCAGCCTCCCAAAGTGCTGGGATTACAGGCTTGAGCCACCGCGCCCGGCAAATTATATGATTTTTAAAGAGAATGTTCAATATCTTAATTTATTTTTTCCTTGGGACACAGTCTCACTCACACTGTCACTCTGTCACTCAAGCTGGAGTGCAGTAGCATGATCTCAGCTCACTGCAACCTCCACCTCCCTGGTTCCAGCAATTCTTCCTCAACCTCCCGAGTAGCTGGAAATACAGGCATGTACCACCATGCACAGCTAGTTTTTTCTATTTTTAGTAGAGATGGGGTTTCACCATGTTGGCCAGGCTGGTCTCGCACTCCTGACCTCATGTGATCCACATGCCTCGGCCTCCCAAAGTCCTGAAATTACAGGCTCAAGCCACCACACCCAGCCCTATTTTAACTTTTTAATATACCTAACTATACATCAGGTTGGAGCTGAACAGCCATGGGTGGTAAGAACCAGGTGACAACAAAGCAAATAAATAACTTAAACTATGATCTTTTCCTAAGTTTTTATTGTGGCTTTGCATAGGTTAAGAACCATGAAGCAACAGTCGTGCATCTGTATAAAACAGTTTGGAAAGTGATTATAAGTAACTTGGTTATCTCGCTAAATTTCTAAAATGTAAGACCTGTGCTAACTGTAGAACTGGTAGGAAAAACCAAGACTATGTTTGCTATACACAGAACAATCAAGAAAAATGAAAATATATGAGAAAAGGAATTTAAAAATCCCTAATTTTTGTGGGACCATCTCGACAATCCTAAGTATAACAACAATATTTGAAAACAAAGCAAATCTGAGTATGTTCCTATTTGTAAAACAGAAATAGTAGGTGTGAGGTGAATTATACCTACTGAATTAACGTACAACCAATTGTTTCATATTTTTTTCATAAAGTCATTAATGTGCGGAAGAAAAAAAAATTTGCAAGTTTAGAAATTATTCCAATCCCCGTAACTACATCTCTAGATGACTTGGAACATGTCACAGAAAAAAAAAGAAAAAGAGAAAGAGATAAACTATGGAAGTATTTATGAATGACAGTTAAATAATAGGGAAGTAAAAGACAGTAGATGTGGCCCAAGTGCAGTGACTCACAACTATAAACCCAGCACTGTGGGGGGTTGAAGTGGGAGGATCACTTGAGGCCAGGAGTTCAAGACCAACCTGGGCAACTGTTTTTTTGCAGAGACCATTCTCTACAAAAAAGTGAAAGAAGAATAAAATAATTTTTTAAATAATGGATTTGAAATATATAGCTGTATTTTTTTTAAGTTTTAATCAACTGGTGTTATCTCTATAGTTCTTTGCAACATTAAACTTCTACTAATTTCAAATGCAGTTATTGAGAAGTTACATTATTTCTTTGCAGATAATCTTACAGCACCATCTTCTGGTATAATATCACCGTGCATAATCTAACAATCAGAAAATAACAATCATGTTACCATACTAGTTTTGTCATATAGCAAAACTTTACAGTACATGAAATTTAAAAATTCAAGATATAATAACAAACTTGGCAACCAAAGCGAGATGTTCTCTGTTAAACAAGAGCAGAGGTTTCCTAACACTGGGCTCACTAACGCAACCAGCAGGGGAAGACAAACTGAATTTAAATCAGAATTTTAAAAAGGTTTAGAATAGGAAAGGCTAAAAAGAAAACTAGGTTTACCAGATCAACAGAATAGAAGAGTGACAGGTTAATAGCTGTCAGACTTCTAAGACTGAAGTGTTGGCACATGGTAATGGCTACAGCAGTATTGCTGCTTATACCAAAGGTTAGAGGAAACAGCTCGAAATGAGGCAAAGACTTAAAGCAGACTTATAGAAAGAAGAAATAAATTCCACTCCACCAGATACCATATGAAAAATACATGACAAAAATATGTATCTACAGGCCGGGCGCGGTGGCTCAAGCCTGTAATCCCAGCACTTTGGGAGGCCAAGGCGGGTGGATCACGAGGTCAAGAGATCAAGACCATCCTGGTCAACATGGTGAAACCTTGTCTCTACTAAAAATACAAAAAAATTAGCTGGGCATGGCGGCATGCGCCTGTAATCCCAGCTACTTAGGAGGCTGAGGCAGGAGAATTGCCTGAACCCAGGAGGCGGAGGTTGTGGTGAGCCGAGATCGCGCCATTGCACTCCAGCCTGGGTAACAAGAACGAAACCCCATCTCAAAAAAAAAAAAAAATATGTATCTACGAATGTACAAACATACTCATATTATAAAAGACATGATATCCCTTAATGTTTAATTTAGTCCTAACGAGACAAAAAGGAATAAACAGTAAGTCTATACCTCCAGAGGGAAAGCCTACAGTGAGTGAGTGCTCAGAAGTCACTGCTTTTAGCTAACATTTTACTGCTTACTACATGCCACAATCTAGTAAGAATTTTCAACAGATCTCTTTTAAATCAACTTAGTTAAGTCTGTTTATCTTTCTTATTCAGCTGAGACAACTTATACTTGAAAGTTAACTAAGTGACTAGTAAAGTAGTGCACAGGAGGCAAAGCTACAAAGAAAGCCAGTTTGACTCCAGAGCCAGAAAACTACAGTGACTTGCAATTCACATATACAATTAATCTACATGAAACTGGTAAACGGTAGTACATACTGATGTAATCTAAATGCACACTCAGAGAATTTAAATAGTCTGATTTTCTACTGACCTCACAATCTGAAGGACTGAAAACATGTAGGAATTTTTTAACTTCCAATAACACCATAATAGCCAACATTTACTATGTGTCAGCCACTGTTCTAACTCATTTCCTCCTCGCAAAAGTCCCATGACATTGGTAGTGCTATCATTTGCATTTTACAGGTGAAATCAAACACGTTGCAGAGTCTATGCTTTTAACTGCAACTCCATGTCGTCCTTAAGGTGTATCATAATTTAGATTAGATGCATTCCATGGCTATATAAGTACAAAATAACACCTGCTTCCTGGAATGGCAATCTAGAGAAATGATGTTCACTACTTAGTACATTGTTATTTTACTTCATTGTAATGCCATCTGGTTTGACCTATTGTAATTCTCTGTTAAACAGACTAATATGAACACACTTCCACATAAATCTAGATATCTAGATTCTTCTAATCTTCTAGATTATTCTAGATTAGTAGAAAAATTTTTTATAGTTCAATCTAGTTTTTAGTAAAACTAAATAGAAAAGCAAACAATTTAGAAGGCTTTTAGAGAAATGCTAACAACTACCTGTATTAGTGACTTACCTTGAAATATTTCCTTCTCATTCGAGTCATGTTCATCAACATAACTCCAGAATTTACTCCAGTTTTTCCATAGTATGGATGCCTAGCAAAGCGATTATACCATCCTATTCGAGGTTCCTCATGTTCTGGTGCCATTGCAGCAATTTGTGTGGAATTAAATTTCTTTAGGAAAGACCAAATATCATCAACTGGTCGTAAAAAAAGGATATCAGTGTCGACATACAATAGTGAGTCAACTTCTTTCAGGATTAACTACAAGGAGAGATATTTGAATGATTAACTATAATTCTATTTCAAAAAGAAACATAAAATCACCTCTAATGGTATACGATACACCTAAGAGATAAACTAATTGATACTATTTTAAGGTGATCTTTCCTAAATCTGTCATTTTTAACAATAGCATATAAAGATACTATGCTGACCTTCACATTAACTTTTAGAGAAGATATAAAAACAAACCAAAGCAAAATACTCAATTATAAAAATTGAAAGAATGCTACCAATATCTTCAGAGATCAGGGAGAAAATGGTTTTCATAATGGACAATAACATTAACTTAGGTAAATTTATATCTTTAATACTAATTTCCTGAGATAAATACAGAAATAAACCAATACAAATAAAGATCTGATCTTATTCCCCTTGCCTTATAACACTGACACCTTTACACCATTTCAGTTTCAACTAGTAAGAGGTAGAGCCAAACTGGAACCCAGGCAATCCAGATTCAATTCAAAGTCCATGCTCTTATTGCTATGCTTACTGTCTCCCAATTAATCAAAGAGAATGTACGCCTACCAAGGGTAAAGGCTTGACTCAGACTGGCTATGTTGCACTTTCTAAGAGTTGTTAAATCAACATGTGCCTTTCCTGGGGATATTTAAGGATAATTGTGTGTGTTTGTGTGTGTGTGTGTGAGAGAGAGAGAGAGAGAGAGAGCGCGAGAGCGAGAACGCGCGCGCGCGCGCGCGGGGAGGGGGAGAATGAATCTCATTCTGTCACCCATGCTGGAGTACAGTAGTGCGATCTTAACACACTACAACCTCCGCTTCCTGGGTTCAAGCTATTCTCCTGCCTCAGCTTCTTGAGTAACTGGGATTATAGACATGCACCACCACACCTGGTCGATTTTTTGTATTTTTAATAGAGATGGGGTCTCATCATTTTGGCCAAGCTGGTCTTGTACACCTGACATCACGTGATCCATCTGCCTTGGCCTCCCCAAGTGCTGGGATTACAGGCACAAGCCACCGTACCCAACCAAGGATAATTTTTTATTTCTGCCTTACACATTAACTTTAGATTCTGACTCCTACAGATCTAAATTTACTGCCTATCCTGGTCTATTAGTTAAGATTCAATGAATAGGTGAATCTAAACCTTTTGAGGTAAGAATGTAATAGAAGCTTATCCTAGTACTGCTGCTTTTCAAAGTTCTAACTTCCTCCTGCAACTAAAGCCATCACCTTAATGGGCAGCTACTAGGCTGAAATCACCTCATTCCTCCCTTAGATCACTATCAGATGATTTAATTTCGGGCTGGGGAAAGAAATGACTGACTGTAGGGCCTGAGTAGGGAAGGTTCACTTGGTCAAAGTCCTCAATTAAAAGGGAATCTGTGACCAAGCATGGTGGCTCATGCCTGTAATCCCAGCACTGGTAGGCTGAGGCGGGAACATCACCGGAGGTCAGGAGTTCAAGACCAGTCTGGCCAATATGGCAAAACCCCGTTTCTACTAAAAATACAAAAATTAGCCAGGCATGGTGGCATATGCCTGTAATCCCAGCTATTTGGGAGACTGAGGCAGAAGAATCTCTTTATCCCATGAGGCAGAAGTTGCAGCGAGCTGAGACAGCGCCAATACACTCCAGGCTAGACAACAGAGCAAGACTCTATCTCAGAAAAAAAAAAAAAAAAAAAAAAAAGGTGTGGGCAGGGAGAGGCGTAATCTGTGTGTCTAGCTCCCTTTTTTGAGGGGTAGTGGAGTGAGAATTGCTTTTAATAGCAACATTTTACATCTGTGTCATATCTGTTTACAGATTACTAAATTCTTAGCAGACTAGGAAGAAGCTGCATAAAGCTCCAAGTTCAATGCTGGGAGCCACTGCCAACTGGAAATCAGACATACAGTTAAATAATAATCACCTATGTATAGTTCTGATTCCTTTTGGGTGAAGAAGGCACTGGCACAGTTTACATTAGTTCTTTTCATTAATTTATTTCAAAGTAAGAAACTCAGCAAAAAAGTTTATCACTTTAAAAAAATAAAGCACCAATTTACTTAAATCTGGTTAAAAAGATGCAGAATTAACAGCAAAGTATGAGGTCAATTTGACAGGTTTCAAGTATTTCTTGTACTTAAAATTGCATTTAGGTATTTAACTGGTTTTACATAATTAAATGATCTGGCATATTTCATATAACAACATCAACAATTTAACTTGTTAAAAAAGTATTAACAAAGTGCTTTGGTGTCAAGCGTTAATAAAGTGCCATAACAAAATGGCAGAGAAACGGCCATAATCTCACATCTTTCTTTCATCTCTTACTGTTTTTTCAACATATTGGTGTGATTATTTAATGTCTGTCTCCATCAGACAAGAAGCTCTATCAAAACAGGAAACATGTCTGTTCTATTGATTCCTATATACCCAGCACTTGAGTATAGCTGACTGATAAGAAATTGGCACTCACATATTAATTAATTGACTGTGACACTGCAATCATTCAATATAAAACTTATTTCAAAAACTTACAAAACCCTACATGAAATATCTAAAACTTAAATTTTTTTTTTTTAACCAATCTTAATCCCTTATGTGTGTGCTTTTTACAATGGAAGACAAGAGAAGAGAAAGATCCTAGGGTCCAACTTTTTAAGGCAGAGCACAAACATACTAGTTAGGCAGACTTGCTTATCAGAATTATAACTTAATCTTATAGATATACAGGATTCCATAAACTGTATTCTTAATAAGCTAGGATTGCCTTAATCCACTTAGCAATAAGAAGTAACTGAAGATTCTTCCCCATAATTTATATACTTTCCAGAAATTTCTGTGTTTCTTAAATTTAGTATTTCTACCATAAGTATTCTTTATGTGTTTAAGTTGCAAAAACATAAGTATCTAAATATCACAATGATCTACACAACTACTGTGCATTTTAAAACTGGGTAAAATCAAATCAAAATGAAAGAGGTAACCTTGCTTCAGAACATCTGTATATAAAAAAGAAAAAAAAATCAAGGTTTGTCACCACAGAACACTACCAAAGAACAACCCCACTGAATAAATAGTTCCCATTTTCCCTTTGAGTTCACATGTATTAAATTTGTTTCTAAGTATCAGTTACAAAAGATAAATTGGCTTGGTATAAGACACAAATTGCTATTTAATGATGCACTCTCCCTCATTTCTCAAACTCTAAATGCAGTCTACAAGTTGAACATGATAACGCCACTGCATTTCTGCTGGCAACAGACCTGGCTCCATTAAGACCTGGCAACCTCTATTCCTTCTTACAGATAAAAGAGTTCACAGCAACTGAATACATTAAATCGGTATCTCAACTGATATTACTAAAAATTTTTCATTCTTAACAGGGTTTTTATTTTACTTGTTCCATATGAATATTTTTTCATGTTCAAAGGGAAAATAGTACAAATATTGATTTCTATTTATTAATTTTTAAACCGGATTTATATGTAACTCTTCAGAGACTCATCTGTGTAAAAGTAAGTTTCTTTTCGTTTGTTTTTCTCGGCCACCTTCATCGGCAGTAAGTTTCAATTTAAAAAAAAAAAAGGGGCTGGGTGCGGTGGCTCACGTCTGTAATCCCAGCACTTTGGGAGGTTGAGGCGGATGGACCACGAGGTCAAGAGATAGAGATCATCCTGGTCAACATGGTGAAACCCCGTCTCTACTAAAAATACAAAACGTTAGCTGGGCATGGTGGCGCGTGCCTGTAATCCCAGCTACTCAGGAGGCTGAGGCAGGAGAATTGCCTGAACCCAGGAGGCGGAGGTTGCGGTGAGCTGAGATCGCGCCATTGCACTCCAGCCTGGGTAACAAGAGCAAAAACTCCGTCTCAAAAAAAAAAAAAAAAAAAAAAAAAGGACACTGGGGGAAAAAACTTACCGGCAAGAACAATCTCTGCGAAGCACATGGTTTAAAGAGTTTTTTCCATTCTGCTGCATTCTCACTTGGAAAAGTTATGGGGTATAACGTATAATTAAATGTTTGTAGAAATGACCAGCTGTCAAGCTAAAACAATTAAAAAAAAAAAAAGATTAGTTTCACTCTGAATTTTCTCTCTAAAACAATAGACTATAAAACAGAAGAGCTAAAAATTAAGATAGTATACATTTTATGCTGTAAAGTTAAGAGAAAGATTCTTCCACCACTGTAATTGTTTCCATTTAAAATCTAAAAATCAAAATAAGATGGCAGAAAGACTTCACCATTAAGATCTGAGGCATAATGAAAGTTATCAAGGTCTGACTCCCATCAGAAAGGTGAAAGACGCTTGCAAGTGTGTCTTCCTCAACTTTATGTAATGTGTAAATTCTCTTAACCCATTAACAAGTTAAAATCAGAAAAATTAAGCACTAATTTTATTACCACTATATATGGTATGACAGATGCTTACATTCAGAGTCAGACCAAATATGAAACTGGTCAACAAATATTTGTCCATCAATGCATAATTTTAGTATGCCCGAATATTTCTGATAATAATATATTCCAATACATAGCCAATGCCAATTTTTAAAAAATTACTGCAAAAAGCAAATTATATCTGAAAATCTACAATTTAACATGTTTACACTTCAGTACCCTAAATGCATTTCAAGATACTGAACTATTTCAAATTCAGTTTAAGTATTATCTCTCATTCTTATTTCAACAGAATTACTGATTCACATTTCCTAAAAAGCATAAAGAAACAATCTATGGGGGGAAAACAAAGTAGTTTGCGTACAGGCTGAATACAATCACTTTTGAATTATGATTGTGTTTAAGTCAATTTTAAAACATTAACATCTTCCAACATAGTTTAAGGGAAAACCTTTAATTCCAACACTCTGCTTTGGTGTCTCTGCTAATTATTTCATTTATTTTACTTTTTATTTTATTTATTTATTTATTCTGAGGCAGGGTCTCACTCTGTTACCCAGGCTAGGCTGAAGTGCAGTAACATGATTATGGCTCACTGTAGTCTTGACCTCCCAGGCTCGGGTGTTCCTCCCACCTCAGCCTCCCAAGTAGCTGGGACTACAGGTGCATGCCACCACACCCAGCTATCGACTAATTATTTTAAAATACTAGCACTGTTATTTCCCTGCCCCTTTCAATACCAACTTCAAAATAGAGCCTTTCAATAACAACTTCAAAATAAAATATTAGTCACTTTTCATTTAACATATAATAGTCTTGTTTTATGTACTAAAAGCATGTTCCATAAAATATTTGATATTCTTTCATCAAAGGCAAAACCAAACATTCTCAGTGATTATTATAGCAAAGAAAAACTAAGTTTAAAAATACAACACATGTTACACAAGCAATAATTCAGTCAGGTGTGAACACAACACACTGGCTGCAACTAAGACAATGCAATAAATGTTTTACTTTTTTAACTATATTTTCAAAGATTTCCATAACTGGCAGAAGGCTGGTATTCTCTTAACCACTAAGATAAGATTAATTCCTCAATATTTTAGAAAATAGGTGAGAGAAGTGGGCTGCTGAGATGACTGCGAACCGGCTTACGGAGAGGAAGAACTAGTGGATTTGCCAAAAGACTACCTCTTGAGTGAGAGTGAAGATGAGGGGGACGGTGATGGAGAGAGAAAGCATCAGAACCTTCTGGAAGCAATCAGTTCCCTTGATGGAAAGAATAGGCAGAAGTTGGCTGAGAGGTCCGAGGCTAGTCTGAAGGTATCAGAGTTCAATGTCAGTTCTGAAGGATCAGGAGAAAAGCTGGTCCTTGCAGATCTGCTTGAGCCTGTTAAAACTTCATCTTCTTTGGCTACTGTGAAAAAGCAACTGAATAGAGTCAAATCAAAGAAGACCGTGGAGTTACCTCTTAACAAAGAAGAGATTGAATGGATCCACAGAGAAGTAGCATTCAATAAAACCTCACAAGTCCTCTCCAAATGGGACCCTATCGTCCTAAAGAACCGACAGGCAGAGCAGCTGGTTTTTCTCCTGGAGAAGGAGGAGCCAATCATTGCTCCCATTGAACATGTGCTCAGTAGCTGGAAGGCAAGAACTCCCCTGGAGCAAGAAATTTTCAACCTCCTCCATAAGAACAAGCAGCCAGTGACAGACCCTTTACTGGCTCCCGTAGAAAAGGCCTCTCTCCAAGCCATGAGCCTGGAAGAGGCAAAGGTGCGCCGAGCAGAGCTTCAGAGGGCCCGGGCTCTGCAGTCCTACTATGAGGCCAAGGCTTGAAGAGAGAAGAAAATTAAAAGTAAAAAGTATCACAAAGTCGTAAAGAAAGGAAAGGCCAAGAAAGCCCTAAAAGAGTTTGAGCAGCTGCGGAAGGTTAATCCAGCTGCAGCACTGGAAGAACTGGAAAAAATTGAAAAGGCCAGAATGATGGAAAGAATGAGCCTTAAGCACCAAAACAGTGGGAAATGGGCCAAATCAAAGGCAATTATGGCCAAATATGACCTGGAGGCTCGCCAAGCTATGCAGGAACAGTTGGCCAAGAACAAAGAACTGACACAGAAACTCAAGGTAGCCTCTGAGAGTGAGGAGGAGGAGGGAGGCGCAGAAGTGGAAGAACTCCTTGTCCCTGATGCAGTGAATGAAGTGCAGATGAATGTGGACGGACCGAATCCCTGGATGCTCAGGAGCTGCACCAGTGACACCAAAGAGGCTGCAACCGAGGAGGAGGACCCTGAGCAGCTGCCAGAGCCTGTGGCACACGAAGTTTCTGAAAGTGAGGGAGAAGAAAGACCAGTGGCAGAAGAAGACATTTTGTTGAGAGAATATGAGGAAAGGCGATCCCTTAGACAAAGATCTGAGCTCAACCAGGATGCTGAGCCAGCAGACAGTCAAGAAACAAAAGATTCTAGTAGCCAGGAGGTGCTGTCCGAATTGAGGGCACTGTCTCAGAAATTGAAGGAAGACCATCAGTCCAGGAAGCAAAAAGCAAGTTCAGAGGCGACTGTTCCCCAGGTCCAGAGAGAGGAACCTGCCCCAGAAGAAGAGGAGCCCCTGTTGCTACAGAGGCCAGAAAGAGTACAGATGCTGGAAGAGCTAGAAAAAGAAGAATGTTTTCAAAATAAGGAGCTTTCCAGACCTGTGTTAGAAGGGCATTGGTCAGAGAAGACCCCAAATAATCACCCTGATGCCCCTAAGGAGAAGAAAAAGAAGGAGCAAATGATTGACCTACAGAACCTCCTAACCACACAGTCTCTCTCGGTGAAGTCTTTGGCAGTGCCCACAATAGAGATGCTGGAAGATGAAGTGGAGAGAAACCAAAGGCAGATGATAAAGGAAGCTTTCGCTGGGGATGATGTCATCAGAGATTTCTTGAAAGAGAAGAGGGAAGCTGTGGAGGCCAGTAAGCCAAAGGACATAGACCTGACACTACCTGGCTGGGGCGAGTGGGGTGGTGTGGGCCTAAAGCCCAGTGCCAAGAAAAGACGCCAGTTTCTCATTAAAGCCCCTGAGGGTCCTCCAAGAAAAGATAAGAATTTGCTAAATGTGATTATCAATGAGAAGCGCAACATCCACGCAGCAGCTCATCAGGTACGAGTGCTTCCATATCCATTTACCCACCATCGGCAATTTGAAAGGACCATCCAGACCCCTATAGGATCCACGTGGAACACCCAGAGAGCTTTCCAAAAGCTGACTACTCCTAAGGTCATCACCAAGCCAGGCCATATCATTAAGCCCATAAAAGCAGAGGATGTGGGCTACCGGTCTTCCTCAAGGTCGGACCTCTCTGTCATACAGAGGAATCCAAAACGGGTCACCACACGTCACAAAAAACAGCTGAAGAAAAACTCTGTAGATTGAGTTGCTGGAGGACTGACAGCCAGGAGCCCTGACTCCACTCACTTTGGTCCAGTTTTACTCTGCTACAAGGTGGGTTCCAAAACTGGCTCAGCACCTTGCAAGTAGTTGAGCCACATTTGAAAAATAAAGGCTTTTTTAATCTATTAAAAAAAAAGAGAGAGAGAAGGAGAAGACTGCCCTTCTTCACTCCCTCTCCTCATGTTGAACAGAATATAGGTGCAATGGCTGGAGTCTGAGTAGCTACTGTGGACCATGAAGCAGAAGCCTCATGCTGAAAAGGGCTCAGCCACAATCAGACGAAGCCTGAATACCTGAAGATAAAGAATTGCCATATAATCCAAACGACCTACTTTTATGTGAGAGAGAAATAAACTTCAATCTTGTTTAAGCCACTGTTACTTGGGGTTTTCTGCCATTGCTGCCAAACTGATCTGAACTAATACAAAACCAAAACAAGTAATTTTCTTATCAGATCCAGAAGTCATTTCCCACCATATTATTAATCAAGAATTCCTCCTGTCAAAACCAGATTAAAACCTTTATGTAGACTCTGATTAAGGCACTCCAAAGGAAAGGATATGGACAAAAATAAATCATAGGAATTCTTAATCAAAACATCCGGGAACTACAGTCACTAAAACAAAACCTCCAGGCTTGACACAGAACTTACTTTTAAGTAGCCCACTGCTATTAAAAAATGAACCTTCCTCTTTCACCTTAGATCTGGACTCAGATGGAAGTGGTTCAAGGAGCACTCTCCACTTTAGAAGGGCAATGTTACAGAATATTTTTGTGCAATGAAGGAATACAACAACTGATATGATTGGGCTCTGTATTGCCACTCAATTCTCATCTCAAACTGAAATCATCTCAAACTGAAATTCCCACATGTGGAGGGAGGGACCTGGTGGGAGATAACTTGATCATGGGGGCGGTTTCCCCGATGCTGTTCGCGTGATAACCATCAGTTCCTACAAGATCTGACAGTTTAAAAGTGTGACACTTCCTCTCTCCCTCTCTCTCTCTCTCTCTCTTTTCTGCTGCCATGTAAGACATGCCTTACTTCCCCCTTTGCCTTTCCCCATGATTGTAATTTTCCTGGGGCCTCTCCAGTGATGCTGAACTGAGTCAATTAAACCTCTTTTTTTTATAAATTAACAAGTCGAGGGTAGTTCTTCATAGCAATGTGATAACAGACTAATACAACAACATTCTATTAGAGTATATTATTAAATATTCAATTCTACAACCTTGACTTGGTCTCAAATACTTACTCTGCCTTTAAAGCTCTGATGTAGCTGATCTTCAGCAAAAATATGGAATTGAAGAGGTTTGATGCTGAAAATGATAGCTGACTTCAACATGGTCATAGTTTCTTCCAGTCTTTCACCACAGGCAACTACAGCTAGATGCATTTTCTCAACAGGCTGCATTTTCAGATTATACCTAATAGGAAAGAAAACCATATTTTCCAACAGTTTCAGTATATGTTTACAACATGGTACTTTCACCATGTTCAAAAAGTGAAGTTCAAGGGCAGGTGTGGTGACTCATGCCTGCAGTCCCAGCTACTCAGGAAGCTAAGGTAGGAGGATCACTTGAAACCAAGAGTTCAAGGCTGCAGTGGGCTATGACTGCATCATTATACTCCAGCCTGGGCAACAAAGCCAGACCCTGTGAAAGAGAGAGAGGAAAGAAAGAACGGAAAGAGAAGGAAGGGAAAGGGAAGGGAGAGAAAAGGGAAGGGAAAGAAAGGGAGGGAAGGAGGAAAACTGAAGTTCAAAATTTTTATTTATAAAACAAACTAGGCCAAGTGTGGTGGCTCATGTCTGTAATCCCAGCACTTTGAGAGGCCAAGGAATAAGGGTCACTTCAGCCCAGGAGTTCAAGACCAGGCTAGCTAGGCAATATACTAAGATCCCATCCCTACAAAAAATATAAAAATTAGCCAGGAGGGTGGCATGGACCTGTAGTCCCAGCTACTCAGGAGGCTGACATGGAGGATATTTTAAGCCCAGAAGATAGAAGCTGCAGTGAACTGTAATTATGCCACTTTACTCTAGACAGAGCAAGACCTTGTTTTAAAAAAATAATTTATTTAAAAAATAAGGGCAAACAAATGTCAACTTACAAAACATTTTTAGAATGTTGAATCAATCATGTATTTCTACACTCACAACCAGCTCTTCCCACCAATTTTCCTCCTTGTGAACTACAGAACACACAAAAAATGATTACTTTCTCAATTCTCCCAGGAATACATTAACTAGCACCATTGTAGCTGCCAGCAGATAAATTAATTTATTACTCACATTGGATGCCTTAGGAAATTAGGGCTTAATTCTCTCACGGAACCCATGGAGAAAGACTGATTTGAAGGTCTTTCCATTTTTTAAAAAACTTTGTTATTTAAAAAAATAAACCCTCAAACACATTCTTACTTCATCTGAAACCTCTCCCCACACCACCTCTCACCAACCAACAGTTCACTGTCAAGCAAACCCAGTCATAATTTTATTCATAAATATTTCAGTATTATACCCAATCTTAAACCATGGTGATTACAAGAACGAATTTCCTTCACATTAATAATACACATTCAGTCCCATCTACCAAATATTCAGCAAGATGTAAACGCTTCTAAGATGGTCTAAAACATGCTAATCAAACACTAGTATGTCTTTAGAATCTACTTCTAACACAGCGCAGCAGTGTATATCAATAGGCTTAAGTAACCTTTAACACCTCTTGTTTCTGCTGTGCCACTTCCTTCACACATCTGGTGTTTGCATAAGCTTTGGTCTTGTTACCCTTTTTTTTTTTTTCTTTTTAGAGACAGAGTCTCACTCTATCACCCACACTGGAACACAGTGGCTCAGTCAGCTCATTGCAGCCTCAACCTCCCAGGCTCAAGCCATCTTCCCACCTCAGCCTCCCAAGTAGCTGGGACCAAAGATGTGCACCACCATGTCCAGCTAATTTTTTTTTATTTTTGGTAGAGATGGGGCCTCACTATATTGCCTAGGCTGGCAATTCCTGACCTCAAGGGATCCTCCCACCTCAGCCTCCCAAAGTGCTGGGATTACAAGCAGGAGCCAGTGCATCTGGCCAGCTTGGGTCTTTTTAAAGCTCTCTATTCTTTCCCAATGACAGTATTTAGGAAGAAGCAATGTCTCTTCCCTTGTTTGCACTCTCCATCCCTTGTCTTCTTTTGTGTTGAGCCCATCAGTTCATAACACTGAAACTAGTGATGGTAGGGAGACTTAAAGTCTCCGTGGAGGGGAGACTATCTATGCTTTCTATGTTTATAACAAGGGGACATGAATCCAGTTCATCCTAGAAACAGTGGAAGCTGAGCCGGGCACAGTGGCTCATGCCTGTAATCCCAGCACTTTGGGAGGCTGAGGTGGGCAGATCACCGGGTCAGGAGTTCAAGACCAGTCTGACCAATATGGTGAAACCCCAACTCTACTAAAAATACAAAAATTAGCCAGGCATAGTGGCGCAAGCCTGTAGTCCCAATTACTTGGGAGGCTGAGGCAGGAAAATCGCTTGAACCTGGGAGATGGAGGTTGCAGTGACCAGAGATCTCGCCACTGCCCTCCAGTATGGGCAAAAAAAAACAGTGGAAGCCACAATGACACAAGTTAAAAACTAGGCAATCAAGACACGACAATTTTTACAGAATTCTAAATTACCTCATTTTTCCAGTGACTACCTCCAGATCCTACTTCTCATGTGATATAAAGGCCTTCTTTATAGCACCATGTTTTAACAATCTATAATGGACTCAGATTGCTTTATTGGCCCATAACTAGATCTTGCCCCAAAGTCAAAGGCCAAGAGAAGATTTTAAAAGTAAGGTGTAATAATCATAGGCACAATAATCATATGCTGTTCTGTACAGCATCAACTACATACAGATAAGTAGTATATTAAACCTTAAGAAAAATTAGTCTCAGGGCTAGCGTGGTGGCTCACACCTGTAATTCCAGTACTTTGGGAGGCTAAGGTGAGAGAAACAGCTTGAGGCCATGAGTTTGAGATCTGCCTGGGTAACACAGAGACCCAGTATCCACACACACACACACACACAAACTAGCTGGATGCGGTGGTATGCACCTGTACTCCTAGCTACTCCGAAGGCTAAGGCAGGAAGGTTGCTTGAGTCCAGGAGTTTGAGGTTGCAGTGAGCTGTGATCATGTCACACTGCACTCCACCCTGGGTGCTGCGCGATGTCTTAAATGATAACATACCCAAATGTTTCTCAAGGAAAAACATCCCTCTAAAAATCAGTCCCAGGAACTCCTCCGAGGTATATTAGCAAGGATTGTTTTGGTCATACTGCCAGCACTCCTTGCAACAGTTTCTACAGAAGTACTGTCAACCACATCACATTTGCTTTTCTGTTTGGTATCCTTTTTAGTGAGAGTATTATATACAGTTCAGGCTCAACTCCTCAAAAGATCATAAAAAAACACAGTTAAAAGATGCCCCTGACCACCACCCTACCCCTAGACCCAAAAGACAGGAAAATCAATTGCAACTGGAAAAAATCTAAAGTAAACTAATATATGATAGGCACTGATAACTAAATCCTTCTAAGTAGTCATAGGAAAGCAGCCATTCAAATAATGCTGGCCTCACTCAGTTGAATGGTGGAATCTTGCCAAGTCTACAAAAATCTTTCTTTTGATCACAGTATGAACAAGAGAAAAGTCCATGGGGGTTTAAAGAAATGTAATAGAAAAGGAGATTTTAAAGTCAAATCTATTTTTCTACAGATATATGATTAAAAGAAATTCTTCAGATGATTCAGAGATAATATCTGAAAGGTCCCATGGTTAAACTTGGCATAACCTGAGTATGAGAAATATGACAGTAAAGAATGATGACATATTAAATTTACAAAGTGAACACTGGTCGGGCATGGTGGCTCACACCTGTAATCCCAGCACATTGGGAGGCCGAGGGTGAATTATTGGAGGTCAAGAGTTTGAGACCAGGCTGCTCAACACAGTGAAACCCCATCTCTACTAAAAGTACAATAATTAACCAGGCATGGTAGCATATATCTGTGATCCCAGCTACTTGGGAGGCTGAGGCAGGAGAATTGCATGAACCCAAGAAGTGGACGTTGCAGAGAGCTAGGATCGTGCCACTGCACTCCAGCCTGGGCAACAGAGCGAGGCTCTGTTTAAAAATAAATAAATAAAAAGTGAACCCACCAGTCAAAAAAATGACATTAAATAAAGGGGTAAGGAGAGGGAACTCTTCTTTTTTTAAGGATGAATACCAACTAATAAACATAGAAAAATGAGATAATAATAAAACTCACTATTTTTGCAATCACCACTGTAACAGATAATTAGGACAAAAATAATCAGTGGATGCTAAAACTATGTATCAACAAAGTATTAATGTTCCCCCAAACATTACAAAGGGGATAAAGGTACTGTTATACTGCGTAAATGTAAGACTATCACCTTAACCATGTGATCAAACTTAATAATATTAAACTTATGACATTAGATGTCTCCTGATAGTATGCCCAAAGAAGAACACAATATTCCATGCAGTAATCCTGCCAAAATCTAATAATAAGTAGTCAACAAATCAAAATTAAGGTACATTCTGCAAAACAAAAACAAAAATATTGCAAAAGATACCAACACCACCTGCCCCTTCTCACCCCAAAAAAACACTGGGGAACAGTTCTAGAATAAAGGAGACTAATTCAACCTGAGTTAAACGCAATGTATGGTCCTTGAGTGGGTCCTGATCGGGGAGGAAAAGATAAAAAGGACATTAACAGGAAAATAAGAAAATATGAATAGGAATATATATTCTTTGAACAGTGTCAAATAACTTAAGTGACAATTATGGCTATATTAAAGAATGTCCCTGTTTTTAGGCAAAACATGCTGAATCTATGTTTTTAGGAGTGTGTCATAATGCCTGCTATCTCTCAAATGGTTTGGCAGAAAAAGAAAAGTGGCAAAATGTTAATAATAGATAAATATCTAGGTGAAAAAAATGTATGACGTGTTCACTGTACTATTCTTGTAATCTTTGTATATTTGAAATTTATCAAAGTAAAAAATTGGGAAGCAGGGGTTTATCACAAAAAAAGTACTTAAAGGACGTGTTATCTAACAAATTTAGGTACAAATACTGTTAACAAATTTCTAAGTCTTAGAAATTGATTTCTTATTTTAAGTAAATTTCTGCTAAGAAGGAACATAGCTTTTTTCTATTTTGTTTTATTTCACAGAATAACCTCCAGTGTGTTCTTATAGCCTATTATTAAATTAGTATTCTCTGTTTAAAAAAGATACATAATAATATTTAGATTAGGAATGAGCATTACAGTATATAAAGTCAAACTAAAAAGAATTAAATTTCAAATAACTACTCAAACTAAAAAATAACTCCCATGAAGCTA